CAAGACACTCTCTTGAGCAGATCCCTGAAGAGGCTGAAATCTGCCCTTCTGAAGTCAAGGGTAGTAAGCTTGCTGTGAGCCCTCCTTGCTACCCTAAGGATCTTGAACTCCACCATTTCATGGTCACTCCAACATATGCTGCCCTTAACATCCCTCACCAGCCCTTCTTCTTTGGTGAGGACAAGGTCCAGCATAGCACCTCTCCTTGTTTGTTCGTCCACTAATTTGGAAGAGGAAGTTACCATTCTTGTACTCTAGGAACCTCCTGGATTGTCTGCATTTAGCAGAGTTGTTCTTCCAATAGATGTCAGGGTGGTTGAAGTCGCCCATGAGGACCAGGGCATGTGAATGTGAAGCTGCTCTTGTCTCTCTATATAGTGCCTCATCTATATTATCCTCTTGTTCAGGTGACCTGCAGCAAACCCCCACCATGATGTCACCTTGGCCTTTCTTCCCCTTAATCTTAACCCATAAGCTCTCTGTTGGCTCCTCATCCATCCCCAGGGAGAGCTCCATGCACTTCAGATGGTCTTTGAAATAGAGGGCAACAACCCCACCCCGTCTCCCCTGTCTGTCCTCCCTAAAGAGTTTGTAACCCTCCATTCTGACACTGCAGTCCTAGGAGCCATCCCACCAGGTCTCAGTGATGCCAATGAGATCATAGCCCTGCAGGCTCACACTCATCTCTACTTCCTCCTGTTTACTTCCCATGCTGCCTGCGTTTGTAGAAAGGCATTTAAGCTGGGCCTCCAGTGAGGTTGGCTGACTAGCTGACCTGACCACCACACCACCCTTAGGCTCATCTGTAGTAAGCCTGGCTTTATGCCCCACCCCCTTCCAGCCTAGTTTAAAGCCCTGTCAATGAGTCCCACTAATTCCTGCCCTAGTACCCTTTTCCCCCTGTGGGACAGGGTCTTCCCATCCAATGTCAGCAGGCTCAGTGTCCTGTAAACCAAACCATGACCAAAAACCCCGAAGTCCTGCTGGTAGCACCAGTTTTGGACCAGGTATTGGTCTGTGAGTTCTTCTTGTTAACCCACTCATCATTCCCAAGACTGGAGGGACAGAGGAGAACACAACTTGTGCTCCTGAGCCCTTGACCAGGCATCCCAATGCCCTAAAATATTTCTTTATTACTGTCAAACATCTTTTCTCCACCTCATCACTACCTTCCTGAAGATCAAAAGAGGGTAACAGACCGAGGGCCGTATCAGACCATGAAGCTTCCTTGTTATATCCCTTACCCTGGTGTTGCCTTCTAAAGGCGTGGTGACCTGGTTCAGTAGCAACTCAGCAACCCATCCGGGCTGCTGGGCACATCAGCACACAGACACCAATGTGGTGGATGGCAAAATGGCGTTTATTAATGCGTAACACAGCTTTTTATAACCTGGGTTGTACCCAGAGTTAGCAGCATTACTTGTCTCCTTACTTCACGTACTAGGCCCTATTGGCTATCTAGGGGGGAGGGTGCCCTGTCTTTCCGTACAGCGCGGTCTCTTCCGACCGCCAGTCCCTGGCTACCTTTTTACCAAAGGAAGGCTGCATTTTCCCACATTTCCCCCCTCCCTATGCCTAATTAAATTGCCTAAAATATAACTACCCTAAAAAATTCAAGTATCAAAATCTTAAGTCTTAAAACTTACCAAGTCTATCTTAACCCTGATCTATGTTTCATAGCAGCAGTACTTACTAAAGATGTCTTAACCTTATCTTGAGTTATCTTAACCTTATGTTTTATAGCAGCATTATGTTTTATCACAGCATTAGTGTATCTCTTGGAATTGAATAGAAAACATAAAGCACGTTAAAAAGAGGTAGTTAGAGGGTAACAGGATAGGGCTGAGGATAGTTGAAGAAAAACCTGAGCAAAGACATTCTTAAAGCAATTGTTGGTGTTTTACCACCATAATGTTCACCTTCTCCAGCCGGCTTTTGACACACGACACAAGCTTGTTAAATACACAGGGTCCAAAAATCAAAAGTATCACGATCGTTATGATCGGCCCTGTCAGGGTAGATATCAGGGTGGTTAGCCATGGTGAGTGGTCGAACCATGATGAAAACCAGCTTTGTTGTGCCTCTCGTTCCCTTCTCCGATTTTCTAGTCCCTCCCATAATTTGGCCATTGTGTCCCTCACTATCCCGGTGTGATCCGCATACACACAACATTCATCTCCCAGCGCTGCACATACTCCTCCCCGTTGTAGAAACATCAAGTCTAACCGTCTTCTATTTTGCAATACTACTTCCGACAGTGACCTAAGTGATTGTTCTAGGGCACTGATTGACTGTTCAATTCTAGCCAGATCCTCATCTACTGCCGACCTCAAGGCGCTAAATTCTTTGTCCTGTCGAATTAGAGATGTCACTCCTGTACCTGCTCCTACTCCTCCTAAGATCATTATAGCACCTAATGTTAGTGCTGTAAAGAGCTCTCGTCTTGATAGATGATGCTCTGGGGTACTCACTGAGTCATAGATGAAGTCTTCAGAGTGGTAAAAGATCTTAGGGATTATGGTTACCTGGACACAATATTCGGAGGACTCTTTGATCGCTTCCAATGGCACACATGGTGTAATTCCTGCGAGAGAGCAAACCCATTTGGTATTGTTGGCTGGCACTAACCACTTGGCAGGGGTCTTAATTTGGATCCACTTAGCACACAGTTGTTTTTTGTGTTTTGGGACTTTACCCACACACATGCCTCTTCCCACCACCTGCTCTAGGATAATCCCTTGCTTTTCTGTGTTCCAATTACACTGAGCCGGATTTGCATTGTTCTCAACAGTAGGTGTGTCGCTGATTCCCACAGCCTCATAGAAGGGTGGTTTTACACCATAGCACAGCCAACAATGCTCTGTAAAATTTGGGTTAGTTTTGTTTAGTACCTGATAGCCAGCCTGCATCATTTTCCAGAGAGAGTTGTCACTAAAAGGATTGGTAGTGGGTGTTACAGGTGCAATAGCTCTAAAACTAGAAACCTGGTTAGGTACAAGTATGTCTGTCTCTAGCCGGCTGGTGCAGACAGGATGCTTGTCCACTTGTCGTCCTCTTCTGCCACCAAGGCGTATGGATTATGAAGGTGTCCGACAATCCGGTCCTGTGGACAAAAACTCACAATTTTCATTAGTTTTATGTTCTCACATTCATTTTGCTTAATTGTGGACCATGGTGATGGCTTGACAACAGTTTTGGAGGCTGTGCGAATGGCTTCTCTGGCTGCACAAGTGGTTGTCTTAATTTCATAGTGCCTCAGGCCTAGGGCCTGCGCATAGGGGGTGGGCATTGTTGGGTCTAAACCCACCAGCCGTAGCAAGCTGGAGCCATATAGCGGGTGGTCTGGCCCAGTCACTTGGGCTATTTGCTTTGCACAGTTGTCCTCCCATTCTTGTTTAAAAACAATCATTCCTGCCCCATCAAAGATCATTTTACAAGCTTGTTGAATATCAAATGGGAGCAAATCATCCCCCCCCAAGACACTATCTATAAGGGTAGAAACCATGGCAGAATTAAGCCCCTTATCTGCAATTGCCTTAACAATTACTTGTATGTCCTTAGTGTTTATTGATGCATAGAGCTTCTGTCCCCTGTCCGTCACCCGGACCAGGAATGCTAACGTGGGTGAGGGATCCAAATCGGCGCATGCCATCTTTATTTCTCTCCAATCAGTGAAAGGGAGTCCTATCCCTTGCAATTCCATTTTATTTTTTGTGTCATTTTTATTGCGGATAGAAATGCTTTGGCTTTTAGCTGTATTCACTCCTCTTCCCTCTGTC